TTTATATCAGTTTAATTCTTAATATCAAATTATTTCAATGCACTATTACATTTTCCTATGATTAATTTTTGGTTGTTTTGTTGTTTTTTATTTGTTTCTTTTTTCTTTTTGAAAAAAAAAATTAAAAACAGCACGTTGACGTCCTTTTCTATTACTTGCGAAAGATGGCTTTTCATTCCCTGCCTTGTGTTGTTGAGAGTGTCACTACCACAGATCTTATTTTCCATCAAAGGATGAAGAATACTTATGATAATTACTGTTCTTCCAAGAATCTTCAAGAAGTTTTCCATCCTGACAATGATATTCTGGATTATATGTCGGGGTATAAAATTATATGTGGGAGGAGTTGGACATCGGTTGATCATGTGTTGATGCCTATTCATACTGAGATTAGTGGTTGGGGACATTGGATTCTTGGAAGATTTTCCGTTAAAGAGAGGGTTCTTTTCATTTACAATTCTATAAGGTCTCCACAGATTGATGCTGAAATTATTAAGGATGTGGAGTGCTATTCTGTGTTGCTTCCTACATTTCTTTATTTGCTTGGACTTCATTACAAAAGGAAAGAGCTCTTTACTGGTGATGGGAAATCTAGAGCTTCAACCGAGACTCCCCTCAGCTGCGGTTGCCCCACGCTAAGCGCCGCCACAGTCCCGAAAAGAACCACCACAAATGGCGGACCGAAATCCCAATTTCGCCGGCAATCAACAGGCGATGGGCGCCGTTGAAAGTGCGGAACAATTTATGATGCTCGACGGGAATCCCGACGACCAGAACCAGCACCAATCTTTACTCGACGATTTCGTGAGCGACATGCTGCGAGATCCCGATGAGGACCCGGCCGGAGAATATGGCACCGGAGCCCACCTGGGAGAAAATTTTGACGGTGGTGGAAGTGGAGATTTTACTGATTTTGCACAGCAGAGTCGGGCTTTCGGGAACCCTGTACGAATCCCGACGTGGCCCGTCGTGCCATCTCCGTACAGTTGCACTTGCTGCCAGACGCTCAGAGAATTTATATATGCAAATGGTGCGTTTAGATTGATTGACGTGATGGTTTGTGCTTGTTTGGACTTGGATTGACCTAAACTGCGCTCATGGTGTTCGATGAAATGCTTGATTGAGATTATTTTCATTTTCTCTGTTTCTATATATATGGTGTGGCATTTTCATGAGTTAATTGTTTATTTATTTTATTTGTTTTTTAATTTTTGGGTAGGTGCTCATGTGCTGAAGCTTGATGTTCATGGAAGACTAGGACTAATCAGCCACGCAGTGCTCGAAAGATATAATAACGATGTTTTATCTGAGGATCGGGAGTACTATATGTTCGAGTGAGTATGCCAAACAAACTTCGGTTTTTAGTTCAATAATACCTGAGATGAGATCTTTCATTTTTTAGAGTTTTAAATGGTTTTTGTGTGTGAATTAGTACAGCTTCTGCCAGGAGAGCTTAAGCAGTGTGAAGCAATTCCTGATTCAATACTGTGCAGATCGTAAAAGAGAAGGTTATGTGATGTTGCAGGATCCCTTGTCCAACTTTTATAACGCCATGCGCACTGGAATTATAGAAGGTGGTGGTAGTCCGAAGCCAAATACTTTCCCGCCGGAAACTTCAGGAGGTTTTTAAACCGAAACCTATATTCGTTTTTCGTCATATCAATTTGCATTTGTGCTAGTCAAGGAAAGTCTTTTTCATGTTTTATGGATATTGTAGAGAGGAACTTGTCATGGACTTTTGGCAAAATTTTATTCCCTACCCATTTTGCTGGAAAGATAAATTGCCAGTATGCAAGATTAACAAAAGTGCAAGATGTTGTTTTCAAAGTAATATGACGAGCCTTAAAATCTCAATGCAGGGGACATAAAAAACAAACCTGAACGAGATGGAAGTGGAGTATCTAAAAGCTTCTTAGCTTCACAGGTGGCAGTTTTTCCCAACTAAATTTCGAATAAAATAATGTCTTATATCTGTGTTTTGTGCAATGACGTTGAAGTGGATTTTTTGAAATATCAATTGCACTCTTGTTATCACAATATATGGTAAAGAAATCACTATGTCGACCATAAAAGTCGACAACAAGAAAAATTTGATTTCATACCATGCAAAGACACCATATTATTCACAAGAATGCTGTCAAAAAAATTATCATTAACAGTATTGAAAACACCACACAACTTTCTTATCATGAAATAAAACAATCTACCATTTGTTACCTCACCAACGAATTGCGACATGGGATGAAATCTCCAAACTACTCTTCCACAATCAGTAACATCTTCATCATATCGTGTCTTAACCTCGGAAATGGTATTTTGCTCGTCGAAAATACGTGTCGCCTCAAATGTTGTGTCTGGTGTCGTATATGGTGTCATGACATCTAGAGCGACATTTGGAATGACACCTGGAGCAACACTACGAAGCAGAAGGTCCAACAAGTTCCGAACGTCATCCTCAGTAATTTTGACCCATAACAATTTTGGGTAGTTCGCACACCTGTCAAAATACACGAATTAGCCTCATCAAAACCTTCACAAAAATTACGATCAAATTTAACATGGAGATTATCATCACAAAGTAATATTTATAAATTAAAAATATGGATTCAATATGTAATATAGTTGCCTATACTAATTTATTGAAAATGTTATATAAAGTTTAAATTGTATAAAATTACATAAAAATGTCTATTTAAAATTAATATAGAACTCGTGTGGTGCACATAACTGATAATAAATTACATTATTTTCGTTTCAAAATAAGTATCATTTAAAAATTTTTATTCATAAATTCGATTTAATTATTATGTGATTCCATAAAATAGTTATTTTGATAAAATGTTACCATATATTTAACAACATATATGAATAATAAGTATAAGCATAAATATAAAATTCATATTGTTTCATTACTTAAAATAATTTATTTTTGTATAAACTATTCAATTTATTATTTATTATTTAAAGAGTTTGGCTCGAATTAATCATAATATATAGGATATTTCTATTTTTATTTGGTTTCTGTCTAGTTTGTTTTTAAAATTTATACTGGTTTCTAATTTGTGTAGGATTTTCGCAAACATATTGTAAATGAAAACGAATAATTCCTAAATATATGTACTAAAAATATGTAAATATTCCTATTAAATTGCATAGGAATCAAACTTGTGCGTGATCTTTCCTACTCATATTTATTGATATGTATTGGGCGAGAGTAGTACTAGGATGGGTGACCCCCTGGGTAGTCCTCGTGTTGCACCTCTTCTGAGAAAAAAAAAAAAAAAATTATTGATATGTATCAAAGAGATCCGTACAAAATAGGATATTGATTTTTCCGAATCTATACTAATTGAAAGATCTATTAATATTGTTATCATCCGATTCGGTAATTCGAAGTTATTAGCCTTAAATCGTATTTCAGACGGATTATCACCAACACCGATGCGATCAACAATTATTCCGGTTCGCATGCCGAACCGACCAAGCTATAGAAGACCGAGGTGATCCTCACAACCAAGGTCATCCCAGAACCGAAGTCGCAATGAACTGAGGTCACCACCTCCTAAGCTGGTGACAAGGCGCCTACACGCCACCTTCACCAACCACGAAATCAAGTAGGACCCGCTGACAATGCCGCCCATCAAAAGTAGCTTTATGAAAAAGGCAATGCACAAATCCCGATATGTATCCCAAAAAGTTATTATAAATAACGAACTCCTGCTACTTGTGCGGGGATCCCCGGACCGAATTTCTAACATTAAACACGAAACAGCTCACAGAAGCTTTCCACCTCGGTTCACCTCGAACCGGGGTCATTGTTGAGTTTTTATTACATGTTTTACGTACAAACCACTAAAATCAATCAATTAAACCTACTTTCGATCGCTGTTAATAATCGCATAACAACAGTTTGGCGCTAGAAGGAGGGCCTCATAAGTTATTTGAGCTTAATCTTCAATCCTTGGCTCTTTAGCCACAACAAACATTGCAAATATGTCTCACTCAGATCACCATGGACATACTTCGCGTGAAGGGCACAACCGCAGCAATCACTCTGCGAGACGTCCCGCGGCTATACCCAACCTGCCTGATTACACCACTTTATTTCAAAATCCGGAGTTTGCACGAGGATTTGTTGCCTTGATGGCTCAAACTGCTCCCGGGATGTCAACGACGGCGCCGGGACAATCCATCATCCCTGCTACTCCTGCAAACTCGAGAAATCCGTCTATCCGACGAGACGGCGGTGGAACTACTTCTCACGCTACGTCTCAACCTCGTAGTCGAACATCACCTCCGCACCCAGATCGTGTAGTGCGGCACGCCGAGACAGCGCGCACTCCTCCGGTGGTCCCTTATGAAGAAACCGCTGAAAGTCAATCAGGACAGCCACGGCGTTCTCTACCACCTGCGCGGCCTCAGGCTCATTCCCATCCGGCTCGCACAGACCTTCGTCAGCAAATCGAAAGAAATCGGTTAGCTCGGCAAGAATCTACGGAACTAGAAGTGTTACGGCGAAGAATCGCCAAGTTGGAAAGTCGGCAGCGGGCACAGGAAGATCCTCCACGACGATCTTCCACTTCGGCGCACATATACTTAGAAGTCGATTCCCCTTTAACACCCGAGCTCACTTCGGAACCTGTACCGGGAAAAGTCAAAGTCCCTCAAATCGGATTATATGATGGAACGTCAGATCCTGACTCACACCTCGGTCACTATACATCACGTATGGATCTCCATGGGGCTTCAGATACACTTCGGTGTCGCATGTTTTCTCTTACTTTGGGCCTCGAGCTCAAAAATGGTATCACTCATTGCCCCCTCATTCAATTTGGAAGTGACAACAACTGAGGTCGGCTTTCCGATCTCACTTCATTGGGGCCCAAGTTTGTTTGGTCCCAAAAGAATCTCTTGCAAATGTAACTCAAAAAGACGATGAAAGTGTCAAGGATTATACTGCTCGATTTAATGACCGAATTCTATTTTTCGCTGGACATTATGTCAGAATAAGCCGAACACCTTCCAGGAATTCTTTGCCCGTGCCCAACAACATATCATTGCCGAGGAAGCAATGTCGGTCCCCGATTTTAATTTCAATCAGAAGTCATCCAAGTCGGGAACCGATGACCGGAAGAAAAATAAATCCTTTGATAAGCAAAGCAAGGCTCAATTTCGAGGTTACCCCCGTGGAGACGCCAACGACCCTGAAATCAGGGCAGCTCGAAAACAGTACGCAACCGATGTGAAATCCGGTTATCAAACCGTGTATTCAGCTGGGGCTGCCACCATTTATGAAGAGATTAAAGGAAAGGGCATTCTGCCCGATCCCAAACCACTTCGGATGCCTGAGGAAAAGTTAGATAAGTCCCGACATTGTGACTATCATAAATCACCGGGGCACAACATTGATGAATGTTTAAGTCTTTTGGCTGCCCTTTTACGTTTAATCGGTCATCCGCAACTCAGGAAATTCTATCGCAACACTGATCCTCAGAAACGGGGGCCGGGACGTCAAATTGAACCTTACGATGAAGATGAGGATGAAGACCGAGGTGTTATGCCCAAACGCATCCGACAAGGAGACAAAGAAGTGTTCATGTTCACCTCGAAATGACTAGCACTGAAATAAGTGGAGACTCCCGAGGACGCAAACGAAGTCGATCTCCTAGTCCGATGCAAATTACCGTCCACCGAGTAAATACAAATAATTCCCGAGGTACCTCATCTCGTCGGCAAGTCAAAGCCTACGCCCAGCAAGCCTATAATTCGAGTAAGTATGTTTTCACCACAGATCTACGAGATATTCTCAATGCCCGAAACTGCCCCATTACTTTTAACATGGAAGATGCGAATCATTTTGCACACCCTCATTCCGACGCACTCGTCATCACCGTTCCAATATGTGGGATCCCGGTTCACCGTGTCATGGTCGACACTGGGGCCTACTCAAGAATCTTGATGCTAAAAGCCTTTGACAAATTGGGTCTCGACCCAGCGGATATCCGATCTTGTAATGATCAAATACAGGGGTTTAACGGAAGTATCTCGAAGCCCATCGGCGAAATCACCCTGCCTGTCAGATTTGGCACGTCCGAACATGTAACCAAGCTTATTATGGAGACTTTTAAAGTTCTTGACATCAACAACGAGTATAACGCGATCATCGGAAGAACTGCTCTGTACAAACTCCGAGCAGCAGTCTCTATTTTTCATTATGCACTTAAATTCCCGACGACACGCGGTGAAGGAACACATTACGGAGACCAAAGAGAAGCTCGAGAACTTATCACTTTCATACCATCCACCAGATTCCATTCCACCACTTCGATCAACGAAGGAAATTCCTTACCATTAGTCACTTCGGACAATCCAATTTTCGAGGAATCGAGTCATGAAGTCGTTGTCCCCGTCACCTCAGACCCTTTATCTGAGGACCGAGGTAGACGACCCGGAAAAGAACCAATCCCCGAAGAAGATGAATTAGACCCAAGGACTCAATTCAAAGAAAAAAGCTGAAGTTATCAAGGTGAACCCGGAGAAGAAGTAGAGTTAATTTATGTTGACGAGCCGACACGTCAAAAGTCGTTGCGCATTGGAAGTCATTTCCAAGAACCTCTCCGGTCTGAACTC